AGCTTTGATATTTGACTATTGCCGACTATCGTAGCACTGTTGTCATACATATGTATATAGACCGACAGATGTCAGATAGATTGGTGCCTATCTTTCATGCAGGTCATGCCTATAGCAGAAGGAATGAAACCTAATTTAAGTGTTTACATTTGTCTCCTTGTTTATTGACATTGATTGTATGGTCCTTTGTTCGATCCAATGATGGGTTGTTAATTCTTCTACATGTTATGATTGTTGTAACCGATTCGAAACCCAACAAAATCAACTTCTTAGCACCAAGTTCGACATGTAAGACCTAGGATCAACTATGAAGAGATATGGTATAGAGATCGTGATGGATCGCAATCATTGAAATATTTTTATCTCAAAAGAATTACATTGATAAGATTCTTTATTTTTTTTTAATATAGAAAAATTAAATATCCTCCTACATTTTATTCCTATTATCCTCATACCCATATGAAATGGTGACAAGTGGATTAAATTATTATTAATTTCATTAAATATGTCATTAAATGTGATACATGTCAACATTTGATATGGTAGGAAGATAAGTAACAATAAAATGTAAGAGGATATTTAATTTCTCTTTAATATATCATCGGCAACACATGTGAGTTAGAAAGTAACTTTAAAATTGTTAGTTTCTCTATCGACTATTAAAGTCGAGTATATAGCCTTGACGAAGACGACGAATGTGATCTTGGGGTTCAACGAGTTTTGGTTTATTGAGATAGCATGAGTGTTGTTTATTTGGCCAAGAACCGGGTTTCCTATGATTGATCAACACACATTAATGTATGTTATCTTTTCGATTTTAGGGTCATTTATGAAGAATCATATGTTCTAATTTATTCTAATTCCCCTCATTCTAATTATTTAATTAAAAACAAATTAGTAAGGTAAAAGATAAATATTTATCTTTAACCATATTTTTTTTATTATGAGAAGTTTAATGGTTTGAAAAAAGAATTCTAAAATCTATGGTTATAAAATTTTCACGTGTCATTTTACAAAACTTTTTTTCATGTTTTAAAATTTATATTCTATGGAGATGGTAGTTTATTATAAATTTACTCTCTCTCTCTCTCTCTCTCTCTCTCTCTCTCTCTCTCTCTCTCTCTCTCTTCGACAAAGATCACTACCTCTCTCTTCTTTTGGTCTAATTTCTTTCTCTCCATCTTCGTTTAGTTGCCAGACAAAAGGTAGAAAAATAACTCACCGGAAAAACCATTATTAATATCTTTTATCTCAGTTCTCTGAAATTTACTCTAATAAATAAATAATTTTTCTGCCACAAATCACATTCTCTTTCATTTTGTCACATGTCATTTTATGATTATTTTAAATTAATTTTTATTCTACAAATCATTTTATAGTTTTTTCAGTTTTTTAAAATCCACATAGCATTTAAAAGTAATAATAAATGCATATCAATTTAATTAATTGACTTTCATTCTAATTTCAAAATTATTAAATTAAAGCCTAATTAGTTTCCTTTGTTTATTTACAAGTTGGGGCTAGCCCACTTGACTAACAAGGTGTCTAACTACGAGTTTTCTAACCAGGAGGTCCTGGGTTCAATCCCAGGAAAATACTAACATGACCGTTCAAAAAAAAAGTTTCCTTTGTTTATTTATCTAAATTATTTTTTTTAATTTAAAAGAGAAAAAAAAAACTTTAATCCAGAGCCACACTTTATGCTCGAAAATGACCACGTCAGAGATTAATCCAGTACAAAAACGAATATGAATCAAGCTATCACCGGAGAAGACAAAGTTTTCAAATTTCCACCTCGGTACCCCTTTGTGGTTATACCAAGATTTCATTTTTTTTAACAACTGAATTATATTAGAAACTACAAGAACAACAAAATTACAAAGACACGACTAGATATGGGTTATTAAGCCAATCAACCCATCTAGCTAAAATTTTATAGTTTCTAAAAACAAACTAATTAAACAAAAAATCAACAATATTTTCAAAACTCTCATCTCTCGGAGGAAATCTTATCACCAAAAACAAGATCATTCTGGAATAGCCAAATTTTCCAAAGAACTGCAAAAATAATATCCTCCACCATCACCTTTCTTGTACTCCACCTGAACACGAATCCGGCCACAAAGCAAGCCTTCCATTCCGGGACCACCATATCAAGCCAACACAACACCTTTCTCCAAATACTCATCGCTAGCTAACAAGAAACAAAAACATGATCCAAAACTTCAACCAATGTAGAGCACATTGGACACAATAAGGACGAAACTTCAACCCCTTTATGAATGAGATTCCATCTCGTAGGAAGGTAATCAAGCAACACACGCCACATAAAAATATTGACCTTACGAGGAACGTATCGATTCCATTTAGTAGGTCTACCAGTCTCGGGTAACGACACCCGATTGATATGCTTTCCTGTATTAGAAACCTTGAACACCATCAATCCTTCTAGATTCTATCATAATTTATCTTTATCACCAGAAAGCATTACATTATTTAGAATCTTTTTCATTCAATCAAACTGAACTTACTCATCTCCACCTTTAATGACATGACGCCAATTCCAAGCCCCCATCGCACCCCGCCTCTCTTATACCAAGCATTCTTTATTCATTTCCAAAGCAAATAATCTATGAAACCACAACATAAACGAAGTTTCTCATGCTCAAACATTTGACAAGAATTTCATATCTCTACTATCCCCAATGTTTTTTCTAAGGGTAATTAAAGGAATAATTCAATTTTCATGCATTATATTAATAGACCCCACTATATGAGCCCACACTCCACCACCACGACCAACATGAGACCGAAAAGCATCTCAATTTCTGGAACCATGAATCAGATTCACGATCTTCACCCATAACGAGTTAGGTTCATAGGCAAACCTTCATCTCCATTTTTGTAACAGCACAATATTCAGAACTTCAAGACTACCAATTTGAATCTCACCTTTATGTTTAGAAGCAATAACCAAATTCCAAGAAACCTAAGGAATTTATAAATTAAATTAATATTTATAAAAACTAATATATATATATATATATATATATATATATATATATAATATATGTCGTTTAATACAAGATCTTAAAAAGAATAATTTTAATTCCATTCTAGTAGTTACCAACCAAACGTACACATAATAGATATATAGATCAAACCCTTTGCCTAAGATATATATAGAAACCCTTTGCCTACAAAATGACATGAACATATGGAAATAGATAAGTATATTTCTCAATGTTTTAAAAACCGGTTTTTTTGGTTGAACCGGTATGGTAACATGGTGACCAGTTCCTGGTTCAACCGGTTTCTATTGGTGATTTTAGTGCCACCATGTCACTTTATGTAACTGGAACTAACATGTGAGCTAAGGGGCTTCTTAATTTGTACTCTAAAATATGTACGGGTTGGTGCGGAGTGCACGCATGTATAAGATGGAATTAGAAGCCGGTTCGACGACTAGTCGGGGGTCCGGGGGCAGCGCCCCAAAACCTCACCGAATTTTACATATGGGAACATAGTGGAAAATTCAATTTCTTGATGGTGATTATGGTAAAACTAACGAAACTCGTTAGTTTTGGTAACCCTAAATCCTCATTAGATCCGGATTATCCTGACTTGCTTCCAAAGCAACTAACGACGGCCCAACCCTAATGAATCTCTAATCTCGTTTAATATATAAACGGTTCTTCCTTATCAGAAGGAGGTGACAATCATTAGCTCTCGTTTTCATCAAACTCTCACAGAATCTCTCTAGCAAATTGGCTTACGATTTCTGTGCCTAGAATCGTAAGTGTCCACTTGGATTAACCTAGGCTGAATTTCTTGCAACCCAGACATAGGGTAGAAATATCAGTTTGGAAAGTGTTCTCACGACCCAAGTTGGTATCCATATCTCCACCACAAACCCTATTTTTCCTACAATTCCTACAATTTTCATCCCTTAACCTTTTTTCCTACACACATATACATACATAAATCAAGAATTTTACATCCATAAGTTCAAATATTAAACGAATACATAAAAACAATTTGTAGGTTAATCCAAATACATTAAAACAAACACATAATCATAAGTCTTACATTAAATCCACGTACATCAAAAAGAAAATATAAGTATAATACCGAAACAAAATATAGTTTGTTAGAAATTCGGGGTAATATTCATCAATATTGAATCTTGAATCTTGAATGAACTTTGAATCTTGAATGAACTTGAATGAACTTAAACAAGTGTATACTCCGCACATTCCTTACTTGTTTAATATTCATCAATATTGATTTTAGTCAACAAGTCAATCTATTACATTTAAATACACATTGATGATACAAAATCACCAACATAGTTTTAGATGAATAAAAAAGCATAAAAAAAACTTCATAACATTTACATATGTTTTTATTCCGAGAAATCTAAATAGATATGAAAAACATCACCAAAGTTTATTATACAAAATGATTCATTTCGATGTGTTTTTATTCAATTTAACCGCGGTTTTTTATAAAAACCGGCATATTCGTTCCGGTTCAAAAAGAGGTAGAAAACCGATATTAATTGAACTGCTCATTTCTTCGATTCCCGGTCCAACCGGTTCAAACCGGTTTTTAAAACATTGAAAAAAATAATCATTCGCAACCAGCAAGCAAATTAATTAACGGCCACAAAATATGTGATCGCTCTGATGGGGTGAGTGGTGGTTCTCTTTATGATCATAGAGATCGAATCAGTAATGATCCTCTTCTAAAGATTTTCGGTGTCACTTCGGCTAATTAATGGTAACGTTATATACAAAACAAGTGTCTTCATTGTCACACTCTTCAATTTATTTGTGGCTTGCATTTTTACCAATTATATATCAAGAACTCGTTCGTGATTCTTAACAACCGATTTACTATGTTTAAAAAGTTCTGTCTTTAATTATTTGATTCTCACTAAATTCAAGTGTAAAAAAGATCAATTCACATGTAAAAGTGTAAAACTACATTTAAATTTGTTAGAAAGCCACCACAACGTCTCTCACAAATCCACCACCACATCCCAAAATATCAACAAACCGCCACCACGCCTTTTTCCCACTTCTCTGATCATGGGGTTGCCTGCTCTTAATCACGTCACCCAAATCCATCTCAGGGGTACTCCTGCGACGGAGTTGCCTGCTCTTAATGTCACTCAGATCCATCTTCGTCGGAAATTTACCGGATCCGAGTCCAAACATAAACACCTGCCACCTTGAGTTGCTCTTAGATGCCATTCTGCTTCTCTCCATAACTGTTACGGACATTGACCTCGAAGTGCTCGGCCTGGAAACTGTTTTACGGCGCATGTATTTAAAGGAACTTGAACTCGATCGGAATATGGGGTTTGTCTCTTTCACCTTTGCTGTTGGCTTGTTAACGTCATCATCGGAGATTGGTGGTTTTGAAGAATCTAATTTCCTGCCGAAATTGTCGTGTTCAGGTGAAGTATCAAAAGAGGTAGTGTGACTCCATTCTTCATTAGAAAACCCAAAGAATTCTTGAATGAATGATTGGCTTATTTCTTCGGAAAAAGCGGTATCATGGTGGATTTGAAGGTCTGCTTGAGAAAGTGCGTCGTCTGCTTTCGCCATGGTAAGTTCACAACTTGGTTTGTAAGATTTATGCAGAGGGAGAGTATATATATCTGTATTGAAGAATACTGTGAAAATGGTGATGCTAGAAGGGAGGAAAAAGAATTGTAGATATAAAAGTCGAGAATTGTGCGCAGTATGGTTGACAAACGGGTAGAACTTGCGTCGTCTTGACTCTTGACACCGCTACTAGAAGGCAAGAGCCGCCGGTGTCCCGGCCACATGAATTGAAATTTTTTAATACACCTAGCAACCTCCATGCATATCTCTAATCTCTTACTTGCCCATTTTTTGTTTGATAAAGTTTTTATTTAAATATATTTGTGTGCTTTGGTATAATCAAATTAAGGAAAAATATACTAATAGACATGTTAACAGAATCAGTGGAGTAATAAAACAAGGCATTAAATTTAATAATAAATATTTATGTTACTAACTTGTACTTAAAATCTTGTATTCGCTTGAATTAGAAATGGCTAACTGCATGTCATCCTAATTAAAATTAGTAAATAATCTGGATTCAAATAATGTTGTCCTAAGACCCCACGGTGTGATGGAATGGAACGCCGTCGGCATCTGAGGTGGCACCGCCCCGAATTGTTTATTATTGCCTACGGCAATTCTCATCGGCATATTTTTGCCGTTCATTTCCTATTAGTGTATGTGGTTTTCTCTTTTTGAAAAATCAAAATCATGTGCTGTATGTTATAACAATGCTTAACTTCAGCAAAAAGTTGTATATTTGACAAACGTTTTTATCTGTGTGGTTACTAAGAATAAATTTGATTTTTTTTAACTTTCTGTTCCTATTTTCAACCTATTAAATATTACAAACTATCTATATCTATATTTATATATACTTATAAAAGAGACATTTTTATTTGCATCATATGTATTTCAAACCTTTATGATTTTTCAATTTCTTTCTAATAATTATTATAAATTGGTTAATAATTTAAATTAATACAAAAACTAAATTCTAATCATAAATTAACTAAACTACAATATTAAAATTTCATATTTCAATTTTATTCATAAAATTATGATTTTAACGTTTTAACATATTATAGCTAACTTATTAGTTTTGATATTTGTTATATGTGATCAATTGTTATTTTAAAGTCACAACTTTTGTATAATTTATGATTTTATGAAAAATAGTTAAATTATTAATTTCAATATATTATTAAACGGTTAACTTAAATCAAAATTTCATTTAAACTTTGAAAAAAATCAAGAGACTATTTTATAAATAATTAAAAGTTATAAATTATAGTGTTAAACCTAAAATGTAACCCTAAAAATAAAAAAATAAAAAAATAAAAACATGAAAACTATTTCTTATAATCATTAACAATTTTCAAATATGTAGCTTAAAATTAACTTACAATAAGAATAGTTAAAAGTAATATTACATAAAAAATTATAATGTTATTTTTAGAAACAAAAACAACGTTTGTTGTTTTAAATAATTACAATCAAAGAAACTAACAATATTCATCAAATAAACTTTGAAAAAGTTAAATTTCCAAAACCAAATTAAAATTATGAAAAGTTTTCAAATACGTTATTTTAAATAACTTACAACAACAATAGTTAAAAGTAACATTATATACAAAAATTATATCGTTACCTTTAAAAACAGAAAAAAAAAATGTTTAATGTTTTAAGTAATTAAAATGATAGAAATTAAAATATTAAGCAAATAAACTTTTTAAAATTAATTAATAATAACAACTATAAATATCATTAAACCATATATTATATTTATTTTTATTCAATAGTAACCCGCAGGTAGAGGTCATTAAAACAATTAAGAGTATAGAATTTTAAAAGAGGTCTACATTATTTATATAATTCAAAACGAACAATGTTTATACCAACTTATTATAAGACTAAGTTATAACCCGTGGAAACCACAGTTATAAAAATAATTAAAATTTTATAGTAAAACACATAATTATTAATCAATTATTTTTAATAAATTATTTGTTAAACATGATTTTATAGGATCTTCAATATAGAAATACAATTAATTATCGACAATCATAACCGAAACTAATTCAAAACGAATTTAAATTTCTCTTAAAAATGAGGAATCAGATAAATAATTGTCTAACTTATTATCAATATCAATACTTTCAAAAATAAAAAATGATGAGAAAATGCCACGTGTCATTTATATAGAGCATTTGAAAAGAAAATGTAAATTATGAGAAAATGACAAGTGGCACTAATAATTATTATTTTATTAGTATCGTAAAATTTATTATATAAGAGCTAACAAAAGTGTCATTGATATATTTAAAAAACATATATTTATAAAAATTTCAATTATATTTTTGTATTATGCGCAACGTGCGGATTCGCCTACTCTATATATATTGGTAAGTTCGTTTTATTATATAAATCAATAATCAATTAAGATTTAACCATTATATATAGTATTAAAATATGTGTTATATTTTTTTAATTTTTTTAAAAAAAATTGATAGGTAAGGATGACATCATACGTTACTCATAAATCAAAAACTTGATAAGAATAACAAAAGTTTATGTAACATTTAGATGGCACCAAAATTTAATAGGTAAAGATAACATCATACGTAAATGATGTAGATCATTGAAAAACATTTTTTTGAAAGTGAAAGTAAAGAATAAATTTAATAGCTTTTTTATTGGATTTAAACATATAAGGGTAGGTGTAACGACCCAAAATTTTCAAATAAAATTTTCATTTTTAATTAGCCAAACATTCTCATAAAATGTAAAGTAACATTAAACCACTGTTTTCAAAATTCATAACACTAACATTTTATTCAAAACATCAGAGTGTCCCATCAAAACAAATGTCGGAGAGTGCATGCCGCACCATCAAGCCTTGCACTTGCCCTTAGGCTCGGATGTACCTGAAACAAATCAACAAACTGTAAGCTAATGCTTAGTGAGTTCCCCATAGCATACCCCACACACAATCCACATAAACACATATCATATTAGTTATCAAAGCTACATATACCACATAAGCAATGCATACAAGCATATAAGGATGTCGTGGGCTCCTCCTAAGGTCTTACTCCAGGATGTCATAGGCTCCCCCACATGGTCTTACACCTAAGTGTCATGGGCTCTCCCCATGGTCTTTAGCTGGAAAGCCATGGGCTCCCCCACAGAGACTTACACCCAAATGTCATGGGCTCCTCCCATGGTCTTTACTTGAAAAGTCATGGGCTCTCCCACACGGTCTTACATCCAAGTGCCATGGGCTCCTCCCATGGTCTCCCCTGCAAATATCACATATATAGCTAGCATAACACTAAGCATAACTAACAACCATACCACATATCTCTACAACAACGAGTGTACCACATATCACAAAATAGGCCAGCCTTGGTGCCTTAGACCCATTGGTATGGTGAGGAGACTCACATATGTCTGATGAACCCGAAAGTTGCTCTCCTAACAGTCCGTAACCACCCGCGCTGAACAATAATATCATTATCCAAGGTTAGGACTGAACACAATCCAATTGAAGAACCCAAACCCCAAGTCCTTTCACAATGGCCCAAAAAGTCTTCCTTTGCTAATGGGCCCAAATTCCATGTCCAAAATCATTAATGGGCTCCATGGCCCAATAAAGCCCAACCATAGTATCCATGGCCCAAAACAGATAAGCTAACCCACTAACTCCAAAACGTGACCAGGCCCAATGAGTAATTAAGGCCCAAAAGCTTACAAGCCCAAAACAAGTCCAAGCCCATCTGAAGTGTGTACGCCTTGCGTACTACCCTGGTACGCACAACGTACTGAGTCCCTGAGCTGTACGCGCGGCGTACTCTAACTTATGCTCGACGTACAAACAGATTAAGCATTTTCTTCCATTAAGTGCTTAATACTCGATGTTCTAACGTCCAATATCAGATCTAAGCTCATTAAGACGTCCTAGGGCATAGTATGGAAACTTTATGCCCTTGCATGCTATATGGGACTTAAAAACTTCATTCTTCACATTAGGACTTCATATAAAGCTTCAAACTCACGCATGGATTCTAGATACTCCCCAAGCTAGCACCTGTATGCATCTAGCATGCTCACAAAGCCCAGATCTAACCATTTCCATTTCAGCCTCTGGAGTTGCTCAACTCACAAAAGGAGGTCCAAAACCAACTAAAGGGACCAAATAGAAAACCCTACCTAGATCTAATGAATAAGATGGCAAGATCAAAGCTTTATACCTCCAATAGCTCTTCAAGGTGATCTAGATGCAGATTCTTGAAGCTCAATGCCACTCCAAGCTTGCTTAGCAACTCCTTCTTCTTGAATGGACACTAAAATGGCCACAAATGCACTCCTTAAGCTCAAAAACACAATATCTAATGATTTTACGGTTTTCAGGGACGTTTGAAGGTGAAGGAGGCTGGTTAGGGTGAAGCTCAAATGAGATAAGGATGCTTATATAGGTCTCAAGTCCGGAAATTAGGGTTTCAACATTTGTAACGTACGCCCCGCATACCCTTTGGTACGCCCAGTGTACGTGTTGGCCTTCTGCGATCATCCATGCATGGTACGCTAAGCGTACCCATGAAGTACGCCCAGCGTACTTGAGGGACAAATTATGCAACATTTAAAGTTTCAAGGGCTTCAAAGGTAATACCTGATTTGGAGTGTTACAGTAGGAATCAAAGCACGATGCTAAAAAAACCACCAAGGGTGGTTTTTATTACCTTTTTTTTCCATAATTATACTTTTTTTTGTTTTTTCTTGTTAGCTAGATTTCATAGATGTATTATATATATATATATATATATATATATATATATAGATATAACTATATATATATATATACTATATATATATAGATATCATATATATATATATATATACATATATATATATATATAATATATATAATATACATATATAGGGAAAGGATCAAATGAGAACACCTAAAAGGTTGAGAACACGAGAACAAGTATATTCATGTGTGATTCCATGTATTC